GGAAAGAGCAATAAGACAATTCCAAGGCTAAAATAGCTTGGCAAACATAGTGGGATCTAGTCTAAAAATCTGGACTCCTTTTTTTTTTTCTTTTCTCAATGAAGAAAAAGCCCCTGAGTAGTCTGTGTATTGTAAGCATTTATAAAGTCCAACATGTGGTTTGTACTCAGTTATTGGTGCTCACATCTGAGGTTACAACAAAAATAAATCCCATGATAATGAACAATTGTTTTCACCTGGTCACTAATGGAACATAAAAATCATTCTGAGACACCTAATGAAAATGTTTCCAACAAAAATCTGTAAAAACTAAACTGATGGTTTAACAATTCCTCTATATTGCAAGGGAGTAGCTGTGAACAGTTTTTGGGAAGTCACAGACTACCCAGAACAGGCTTTTGTTATTCTCTTAAGGATGTCAGAGGTGTTTGCTTTTTCCCTTGACTCATCCTTTTCCCTAGTGGATATCCTGACTCTTAGTCCTGGCAAATCCAACAGTACCAAAATTTCCTCTCTGGTACCTCATTAATCACTCCCCTGCCATGTGCTATCTTACCTGCAGACATACTTCTTCTTGCAGATAACTTGTAAATTCAGGCAGTTTGGTTTCTCCTTGTCCTCATATGAACACACAGGAACAATAGTCTGTCGTCTCCTTTCTGTACAGGCTACGTCTTGACAGGAGCAGAAGAGCATCCCATAGCTGTGCTTTGGGTGAACTTTGTCAAAAAACAGCCGGAGGGCCTTATGACACTTCCGCTTGTTACAGACCTCATTGGATGTGCTGGTGGTGCAGGGGGTTATGTAAGCAGATCTGAACTTCTTGCAGGTGTTGTTTAGGTTACAAGCTTTTGCTGCATCCAAACAATTGTTCCCCTTTGAAAGCACATGCTCTGCTAGAAAAAACAACACAACAGCAGTGAGAAATGTGTCACATTTATATTGTATTTTGATGTTTGTGTTTATTTCATTAGTAATGAGATCCTGATTATGTATTTGTTACAAACAAAACTTTCAGTGCCAGAAACTGGGACCGGTCCTTACGTTTCTTAGGGTAATAGTTTAGCTAGTGAAGAAGAGCACAGGCATGTGTTAAGGTCAGAATGCTGACAAATAAATGACAATCACCCTGGGCAGGTTGTACTTCCTTATAGCAGACATGCATGTGAATATTAGGTAAGACTTGGCCTCATTTAAAAGCCATTCAAAATCACTGGCAAATTGGGATACATTTGACCCTTCGCACAAGAACACAGTATGAACGTGGGAGCCTAACTCTGGTTTTGTAAAGCTCTGACATTTTTTATTTTTCCCATTAACAGTATATATGACATTCAGCAACTACACCAGGTAACAAGACTGAAATGTAATCTGTGCACTCTGCAGAATGTAAAAGCTACATGCCTGTTACTACAGTTCTTGAGGTATGAGACCAGTCCACCAAGAGAGAAAGAAAAGCAGGTGCAGCCCCACAACTCTGAGCTCTGTAAGGCCACCCACAAAGCCTGTAAGCTCCATGCTTAGGTAGAGATATTGTTATAACATCCACAGATGCCACCTGAACCTTGGAAGATTTATGAAGTTTACAAGCTTTGAAAAGGCTGATGTAGAACTAAAAAGAACTAACTTAAGAAACATTTAAAACAAAGAGAATGTCTCACACACATGCATGCACTAGAAGTCATTACAGACAAAATTAAACTCAGATAAAAGTAAAGACTGTAATTATACATTTAATTTTGCAATACATTATCCAGATATTAAAACCCAATACATACTTTGTTTCAAAATAAAAGGCAACTGGCATTAGAATGCAAAATTCAATTAAGAATAATTATAATGCTGCTTTGGATATTAGGAATGCCAACATCATGGATCCAAGAAAATACATTAACTTCCCATTGCTACAGAATTTGCAAGCTGATCAAAACATATTGCAAATAACAAAAAAACTGCAACAACCTCTTAGGGAAAATGGCCAAAGACCTCAAGCAATCTAAAAAGCTCTAAGTTCCTCTCCAAAAAAACTCTTTTCTTGATCTTCCACCTTTCCCAAAAACTCAGTCCAAGGCCCATGCCACTCCTCTCAGTTCTCCTAGTGCTCTGCTGCCCATTCCCAGATCACAGCATCAACCCTTTCTCTTTTTCCATGTCAGGAAGCTTGGCTGACATGGTACACTGAGGTGCTGCATCTCCTTGAACTGACTGTGCCTAAGATGGTCCTTGGACGCTAGTGCACACCTCGCCTTACACAGATATATCACCTGCTCCCATCCCACAGCTCTTCCATATCCATAAATAATGTAATGCATAAAAAGGATTAGATTCTTCATTCTAGCAATATGCTCTAACTGCATTCAGTGGGTTCATACACTTCACCTTTGTACATTTAATATTCACACTCCAAGTCCTTACCAATCGCAGTTGCTTGCACAATAAACTGTGGCTTTTTGCTTGTCTTCACAAATTACAAAATTATAAACGTGCAACATTTGAATATAAATTAACAAAACTAAGTAATTCTTATAATAGCAGCCTACCACAATTTAAGCAACACCAGAGGCAGAAGAGATGAGGCATCCAAAATACAAACCTCTCATAAAATTGTACAACTATAATCTCAACTATGAATTCTCAAAGTTTTTTTTTAATACAGCATATAGAATTATATGTTTAGTACAAATATAATTACTATGTAATCTGCAGGGCATATAATTATGCAATATATGAATAGTACATGCTAATTACTACGTGATTGCAGAGTAATTACATGGTTATTTGTGCCTAGGAGTCAACTGCTGAATTGCACTCTTTAAAACAAGATTCTGTGGAAGAGATCTGAATGGGGCATTTCAATACAAATAGACATCAACTTATTCTTATGATAAATTAGAAAGTATTCTTTAAAAGAAAACCCAAGATGTAATAAAACACATCTTTGCTCATAATCATATACATGTTTTCCCTTAGGGTCCAAAATGTAGTAAGTGCTGACACAGAATTGAAAAGCACTGTGAATATGAGTACCTTAAAAATCAAATGGGACAGGTTAATCAATCTTTTTTTAAAAATTGGAACACAAGCTGATTCACTGACCACACAAAAAAGCAGTCAAATTTATCTTGGATGAAAGTTTAATTAGGTGCAAACTGTTCATAAACTACAGTTATGCTCGTTCATATCTTACACACCATTTGTATCTATCCAAGACTCATTCCTCCACACATAAACTGCTTTTTTTTTTTCTAGAACTACCCCTGGCTGTAGCTTGCCACTTACGTTTTCTATTTCAATGCATATCTCTCTAGCTATTATTTCTGGCATATTTAGAGCAAAATTATACAACTTATTTATATCTTTAGAAGGTAGAAATGTAACATACAGCACCAATGAGATAAGCATCAACTGCACATGCATTTGAATTGTGCAAGACTGTCTTAAATCAACTCTTCTCATCAATGCCATCTTTTCCCAAGCTTTCAAATAATGCAACATTTACAATCCAGAACACACTAAATGCTTTATTTTTCTTGTAAAAGTACAACACAATTATTAGTAAGCCCTGTGGTAACTACAAATAGTTAACAATAGTGAGAATGTTCCTGAGGATTACTTACACAGCAGTAATACAAAAGGTCAAGATTTCACCCAGCTTCTGTTCTGCAAAGCTTAAATTATTAAGATAGGCAGGAGTTTGTCTCTTACTAGGTACTGACTACGTTAAGAGCAAATGGATCCAGTCCAGAGCTGCTTTTCCTGCCAGCATCCTTTGGGAAAGGTCTGTAACTTTTTCAGTTACCTCCTCTCTTGGGGAACTTGGATATGGATTGAGGGCAGTCAGAGCAGCAGCTTGTAATGATTCCTTCCCACCACTGTTTCCCGAGCAGAGCTTCCTCTCTCCAGAGTCTGCTTTGCCTTGGGTCTGTTCTGGAAAACTCTGCCAAACCACACAGCTCTCACTTAAGCCAAATCACCACAGCCTCCAAGGTAACTTACTTCCAGGGAGGTGACAGTGATGCCTCATGCCAGTGTGCAAGGCATTAGCCCCTGCCCAAGCAGATCTACAGACACCAAGGGGCTGGTACCCAGCAGAACTCACCAGCATCCACGAGCTGCTTGGCTGCAATGGGTGCTGCCCTGATGTGGCACAGACAGAGACATGGCAGAACACAGCCAGAGCCAGGAGCTGCTGGGAGAAAGCTGCAGCTCCCAACATCCAAACATGCTCTGAGCAGGCAGTTTGCTGTACCTATGCACAGAAACTCTGGGGCAGTAATAACTGGCTGACTGACATTAACCTCCCTCTGCGCTGATCCCTGCCTCCCAGCTCTTCTACCGTACGTGTAACATGTGCAAACAAGGGGATAAGTTTTTCTTATAGATTACTGATGAAAAAACAGGCCTTGTATTCTAGTATAGGGTGTTACCACTTTGATACTTGTTATTTCCTGAAACCCCACCCTGGACCAACACTCTTACAGCTGCAGCAGTGCTGGACTCAATATGACAGCAGAACCAAGCCAAACCAAGCCAACACTCTAGTCTTTTCTCCAGAGATGTTTCTAAAGTTTTTAAAGGGCTTCCCATGCCCTGTGTGATCTCCCCTACACTTCACCATCTTTCACAGTCTCTTCACCATCTTTCACAGTCTCTTCACCATCTTTCACAGTCTCTTCACCTTAATCTTTCATCTTCCCTTCATTTCCATTCTTATTTCATTTCTGCACCTACTGAGTCTTTGGCTGTCTCCTCTTGACTCATGTTAACCTTATGTTGCACAGGAAGGGATTAACAGTGGATACTGGGAGCTTCTTATCCATACTCCCACTGTATGGAAGGAGTGAAAAGACTATTACTTCTTCTATAAGATTCTTGTTAAACAGCAAAATGAACACTTAAACTTTTTTTATAGTATATAAGAAGTAATTCACTGAGGTTGCTATTAAAATTACTATTTGCAAGTAATTTGCATTAGTAGGTTTTCTAGATTTTTTAATGAAGGGAACACTGTAAGAGAGCAGTAAATGTTCATGAGATGGAAGGCAGAATTACAAAGTGACAGAAATGACCAGATGGATATGAGCTTACTCCAACTCAAGTGTAGAATATAGCAAATAGGAACGAAAAACTGACCAGAATAAAGAGAAGAACCACAATCCCATTTTAACAAATGTGCTGCTATGGGGTTTACTTTTTAAAGGTAAACCTAATACATTATCAGCAACACCCAGGGATTTCAGAGTACTAGCAAACACAACAAGATGCACGCTGAAATTACAGCAGATGTCAGCAGTAGGCACACCAGGTGACAAAGATGTTGAGAATGACCCCCATGTACAGAAGAGCACACCCAGGGCTACAGCATCAAAAGGACCTAAACAAAGAAAACTGCCTAAACGGGTATTTCACATCCCTGAGACCATAGCTGGAATATTTTGATTTCCTGGTCAGGCCTCCTTTGTGCTGGGCATGCAAGTCTTTGATTACACAAATTCCACAGGTCCCTAGAATTATTTTCTGAATATACCCATAACTATACCTGAAAAGGTAATGATTACCTCCTGTCCAAGCCCTACAGAGATCAAAATCATTTACATTGCTTAGTGTGAACCAATTTACATGATTTGGAAGCATTCATCACTCAGCTACCACGTTCTGCACAACTGCTATGCCCAAAATCTTTCTCCAAAACAGTCTGGCTTACTGAATCATCAGTCATGATCTAGGAGACTTTGGTTCAATGCATTCCTCGACCTGGAGACTCAGAACTGCTGTTCTCATTTCCCAGGAGGGTTCTCAAACCATCTCGCTGTAGAGTGTTCTCAAGAAGGTACATGGGAAATACTGTGTATAGCAAAACACAAGAGAGAGCGTGATGCTTCAGCCCAAGGATGAG